GATAAGTGGGATTTGGCTGTGGGGGAGGTTGTCGGGTCGGCTGCCCTCCATGCCTTCCTTGGTCTTCTTGGTCCTGCCGTTGTGGACGAAGAAACACTGAGTCCAGGCCCGAGCGGAAGAGTCCCTCCCCCCTCTCTCTCTCTGTCTCTGTCTCTCTCTCAGACATGCGCGCCGAATGACGCGCGAGTTTGACACGGACGCGGTGACGCGCTGCGCGTTGTTGTTGTTGCTGCGCCGAAATGCGAATTGGATTATTGCGCGGGTGAGGCTACGCTACGCTACGCCACGCTACGCCACGCCACCGGGCGGCGGGTGTGTGTGGAGGGCTCCGGTGGAAGGGCAGCAGGACGAAAGGACACTTGATAAATCATTATTGTCCTTGTCGAAGCGAGGACGCGCGGTGTACGACGGGGATACCTGCACGCCACAGCAGTAAACCTACTGCCATGTAAAGTAATGTGTGTGTGTGTGTGTGTGTGTGTGTATGTGTGTCTGTGTGTGCGCGCGCGCGCGCGTGAGTGTAAACGCGGCTATTTAAAACGTGTAACATGCGCTGAAAAAAACAACACAAAACTCTGTCTCTCTCTCCGACTCCCTTTCTATCCCCGCTCTAAGCTGGCCATCATAACTAACAATTTCACGCGTTTATGAAAAATCTAGGCGCTCGTTTGGCGCGTGGGCCGGGGCCGCGGCGGCGGCTTCCCGGAAAGGGGTCTGCTGTAATAGGATTGCCGTGGGGGGTGCGGGTGGCGGGGGAGGGGGAGGAGAAGGGCGTCTGGGGGGGTCCGAGTCCGGGGTGTGGTCCGGGTGCCTGGCGCGCGCTCGCGCGGAGGGTTACGTGGGGTTAGGGTCATCGCGCGGCTTACCCCTGGCGACGGCTTCCGGCCGGTCACGTGCCCGAGCGCGCCCTCATTCGGCGCCTCACCTATACCTGACCTATCCGTACGTATCGGGCGAGCATGGAGCCTGATGGGGGTCGAAAACGTGTGCCAGAGGGTGGAGGTGCTCAAAAACTCACTGAAGAAAAAGTCATCTCCTGCATTAACTAGTTGCTTTTTAAAAAAAATTCTTTAGCGAAAATTATAGTGCTGAAGAATGTCGTACGGGTGAACTGTACTGAGGCTCAAGTGGATTTCGCCAAAGTGCAGACCTACACTGTACATTGTACACTACCCCGCCGCCTCACGTACGTGTTACAATTTTTTTGTGCAACTTACAAAATTATGCCTTAATCCAGTTCCCCTCTGGGGTTGGGGCACGGGGAGGCGCCATTCGGTGACT